TGTGCCACTGTCATTGGGTCCAAAACAATATCTTCCAGACTACCCAATGACAGTTCAATTTTCACAGCTGAAGCAAACGCAATACTAACAGCTCTTAAATATATTAATAAACACCGTAAATATGAACAATATATCATCTTTTCAGATTCTCTTTCGTGTCTTCAGGCTATACAAAATCTTTCTTGCAAACATCCACTTTTATTAGAAATTATTGAATTGTATAATGAGCTTGCTACTGGCCAATGCGACATCGTCTTTTGTTGGTTACCCAGCCACGTTGGCATTTCTGGGAACACGATGGCTGATATTGCTGCTAAGGCTGCACTCAACAAATCTGTGACATCACTTCTGCTCCCATACTCTGATTACAAAGCTTGCATTAGATCTTACATCCGCGATCTGATGCAAAAGAAGTGGGACACCCAAGTAGGTATCAATAAATTACATGAAATAAAACCCTATATCGGTTACACTTACTTGGGTTGTCAGTCCAGATTTGAAGAGGTCATCATACGACGATGTCGTATTGGCCACACAAGATATACGCATGAGTACCTATTGAAAGGTGAGGATCCTCCGTTTTGTATCCCTTGTGATGAACGAATCACGGTCAAACATGTCTTGCTTGACTGTGTTGAATATTCCATCACAAGGGATATTTATTTCAAAGTAACAACTATGAAGGATCTTTTTAGTCATATAAGTTCTCATTTAATTATTGCCTTTTTAAAAAAATTAGACTTGCTAACTGATTTGTAAATAGATATATATTTTATGATTGGTAGTTTAAATTAGTAACTGATATTGTTAGTGGCTGTATCCTCGAAGGGGGTTGAAGTAGCGTAAAATTATTGTCCTCCTGAGAGGGTACGTAAGTCCCAAAACATTTAGTCAATTTAAGTGTACCAGGTTTTTAATCGTAGAATATGTGTACTTTTAATTTATGGCTAAGTTTCTCTTCTGTCGCCAATGGCTGAAGGGATGGTGTAAATCCAGCTAGGGTCCATGCAGGAAGCAAATGTACTGTAAGTCCCCATGGTCCCTAGTATGGTGATCTACCTTCAGTTGTTGGCGATCAATAGCCTGTTTTTATATTGTATCGCCTTGTCTAGTTCAAATGTTTTAGATTTAGTTACTAGTTTTATATCTATATCTGTGATAATCTAGTTATTTTACTGTCCTTCGTCGGCAGAATTTTATAATTTCACTTAAATTGTTGATATATTTATAACTTGCTTTAGTCACGATATGGCTGAAATATTGCCGATGTGACTTAAAATCTTAACTCACTCACTCACTCACTCACTGGATGCAATATCTGCTGTCAGGAATGGATCGTTCTCAAGTATGCCACTTTTTGCTATATCACTCACTTTTGATTTCGTTTCCTCATAAACGTCCTTGTCGAGTGAGTGAGTTTAGTTTTACGCCGCACTCAGCAATATTCCAGCTACATGGCGGCGGTCTGTAAATACTCGAGTCTGGACCAGACAATCCAGTGATCAACAGCATGAGCATCGATCTGCGCAATTGGGAACTGATGACATGTGTCAACCAAGTCAGCGAGCCTGACCACCCGATCACGTTAGTCGCCTCTTACGACAAGCATAGTCGCCTTTTGTGGCAAGCATAGGTTGCTGAAGGCCTATTCTACCCCGGATCTTCACGGGTCAGTCCTTGTCGAACTCAGGCTTGTCGAGAGGTGACAGCATATCCCCATAGTAACCAGACCACATTGTGTAGATTTCCTCGGGTGTGCTAGCTGTCTTGTCGGGATAATGTAGGGATGTGCATGTTACATTAGTCTTCCTCTGTTTCCTGACAGTTCTATAAAATTCAGCAATGTCCACTTCACAGGTAGAGTTCAGCTCTGTATACTTCTGTATGTCCCAATCCCTTTCTGTTTGTCGTTTCTGTCGGCGGAAGTCGCATTTCGCTGTTTTATATTGCTTGTAAGAGGCATGCGAAGCTCCTCTAGGCCTACCTTCAGATGCCCATTGTCGTCTGGCCTGACGCATCTGGTAGTGGTAGTAATCAAGACCGGAGTCTCTCCAATAGGGTTTCAGGTATGGCCTGTAGTATCCTGTTGGAATGTACTTCGCCGTTGACCTGTGAAGAGAGCTTACTATGGCATCAAAATAATATTCTACCATCTCGCTATTAGCATGTGCCAAGTCTGGTAGGGTGTCACCAAGTATTTTGTCAATTTAGATGAGTACATCCTTAGTTCGATGTCATTAGCTTTCTGCCATTTGTAGGTTGGGGAGTCCATAGCTTTTGGCCTGTTGTGAACACTTCACTAAGGAATGATACAACCACTGGTGATTGATCCGATATGTCATAACTGATCTTGTTATCAACAAGTGTTGTCAACACAGACGATTGAAGAGCACTTGTTAAGAATATTTTTATAATCAATCAGAGATGATTGTGTCCCAGCCTTATTGCGCCATGTCTTGAGATCTCCTTGAATAACACCACCTGCGTATGATGGTATCATGTTCCTTACATCCAAGTATGACCGCAGTATTGAGGAGCGAGGGGATGCGTGGTTGTTTACAATGTCTGTATTAAAATTTCTAAGATGCTTCGGTGAAAGATCAAAGGCGCCGGCAGTACTTTATCAGACGATAATGTGCACTTTTTGCATTACTTAACAATGTAATGCCATTCTAGTCTGCCCCCTCGAAATCGAACAATTTTTGCATTACGTCACAATGTAAGCGACGTCACGATGCATGCCAGTTGTCATCGCCTCGTACAGCCTCCTACAGTAAACTACTCCGTTGCATCCCGTTTCTTGGTTTGCAGTTGCTTCACGCAGCTAACATCACTGGTGGAAACATTACGTTTATGTTTTGCGATGTTTAAAATGTCTCAATTCCACTCACAAGTTTTCAGCGACACGGTAACGTTCGCAATGTTTACATTCCCATAATGCAATCGTGGAATGTCGCTTGACTACTCAGCTTCATCTGGATGTACTGATGAAATGCGACGTTCATATTGCCCCATATTGTTTACGTTGATCACAGATGTAATTACAATAATTTAGAGAAGATATTTAATCCGAACGTAAACCGTCATCAAACTGTTTATCGTTTGTTCTGGTAACGTTCGTCTTAACGTAGGGGGGCAGACACATCAATAGAACAGCGCGCCAGTTAGCCCTGTGCGAGGATTCTTAATTTAGGTCACCGACACCGTCGGTTGTTTTCTGCCTTTTTTCTGTAATTATCCTTAGAAAGCATTAAATTTGGCATCTTAGAAAAGGAATACACTTCGCTCTACCAGCATGCATAGTGTTATAAAGCACACTTTCGCCCTAAACTATTATAGCACGAGGACGAAAGTGTGATTTATTTCACTATACATGGCGGTAGAGCGAACTGTATTTCTTAACTCCACACAGTACAACATAACTGCTTTCTGCTAGTTCATCGACCATATCAAACACCTCCTGGACACTCTCCTCATACACCGTTGTATTGTGGTGAGAAGAGGGGAGTAAAGCACACACTATACAAAGATCAGCACACTGGGGACGGGAGAGTCGCACAGCTATAACGTTATCATATTCAGATTCATATATTACTACGTACCTGTATATGTTTTTCTTAACTATAATTGCTACACCTTGTCCTCTACACCCTCTCTGATTAGCTTTTACCTTAACTGCAACGTCGAACTTCTCACTGAGACAGTCGAACCAGCCTTGCGTTCCATCACTCAGCCAATGTTCACACACTGTAAGGACGTCACAGTCACTCGCTAGTGGTGTAGTGGTTAGAGCGTCCGCACGGAGAGCGGAAGGTCGCGGGTTCGATCCCAGACCGCGTCATACCAAAAGACGTTAAAATATGGTACTTGTTGGACCCTGCCTGGCGCTCGGCATTGATGGGTACAACAAGGACTGGTCGGCTCGGAGTCAGTATAATGTGTCTGAGTGGGGTATTCATGCTTCACTGCGGCATGGTATCTCAGTGAGCTAGCACTATAAAACCAGCTTCAGTCTGGGCTAGTACAAGCAGCCGCACATACACATACACACTCATGCACGTCGTCATATGAGCGAAATATTCTCAAGCGCGACGTTAAACCCAATTTCACCTCAGGCCCCACTCGCTAGTTTCTCTAGGTAGTGATGGACATCAATACACCTCTCACATTCCATGTTCTTGGTGGAACCCGGCAGCACATTAAGCTTTCATCCCGTATGAAACTAGATCGTACACACCGATAGTAGTCTGTGAAGTAGGAGAGACGCAACTCTACACTCGGAATTGTGTATAAGAGGACTGGGCCATCTATGACCCCCAGGTCAGGTATGATTAGAAACTACCAACAAAAGGAAAGCGCGCGTACAACCATGTTGACTAGTGGCGACTAGAGAAAACAAATCAATAACGATTATTCGATGGTGTTATTTGGTAAGTGCATTACAGGTGTTTTCCCCATAGGTGAGGAGTTTGTCGGCGGCCCATTTCAGCCTAGTAATGTTTGGATAACGTTTTGGGGCAAGTCCAGTATTCAAATGTATACTTTCTTTTACCGGGCGGTTTGCAACTACTTTGTGAAAGAAACGCTCGAGCTACCGAAAATACATTACAGTGTTCACAGAATACTGACACATTTCCATATTCCTTTTCTTTTCCAGGGTATTTTCACTATTTTGCAATTTTCCGTTACAAGACAGAGAACCACGCTTGTTAACACGGAAAATAGCCGATAGTTGAGTTTTATCTATTTCCCTTTCGTTGATATGTCACCACAAAACCTTTTAAATACATTGGTTTTGTAACTTTTCGTTATCTTTATAACAATTTTCTATTTTCCAAAACTAATCCAGTCCCGGGACCACAAGCTTAAATTACATGACACTTCATATGCATTCATTAAAAATCGCAGGAAAATATGACTGTACTGTACATAACACATAGGACAATACTGTATGCAAACAGTGAAGAGTTCTAGTCTGTTCTGGATCTGTGGTCCCCTACCCTGTATCTGTTCCACTGTGACGTAACCAATGAGGTCCCCGTTCTTGTCGAAGGACACCGGTCCCTTCAAGGCCTGGAAGCTGACGTTCAGCATGTGACTGTGGATCAAATCCCCCAGCTCCTTGTCTGTGTACGTGAAGTCCTCGAGGGTCTTGTTGCTGCCTACCAAAACAGCAATATACAAGCATGATTCACACCCAGCATAAAGTGAAACCTTGTTAGCCCGGACCCTTTACATGCTGAGATCCTGACCGTACCCTAATTAACAGTATATTCATATTGAAATACTACCACCTTTTCTCCGTTACATTTTATCAATGGCGAATTTTCCATTCGGACCGGAGCCGTCCGATTTAAAGGGGTTTCACTGCTTGAAAATAATTTGAATCAGTTCACCCCTGTATCACAACCGGTGTAAAATAACAGGAATTTACTTCATACTTGTCGTTACTGCCGACTCAAACAGGGATCTGGAGAGTGCACTATAAGAGGGCAGGGTAACACAAAGTACCATGTTTTAACGTCTTTTGGTATGACGCATGGAACCATATATATACATTTCGTTTTGGGGGCGAACGCTTTATCCACTAGGTCATGGAAGCGGTCAAACCAGGTGATATATGCGTTTTGAATATAGATCAGTGATGAGGTGCTGCATTATCTTTGACCTTATAAAACCAAACTCATCATGTTTAAAGGGGTAGCCCAGTGGTCAGTACGTCCACCCGTATGGCCGAACACCAAGGTTAGTGCTGTCTTTGAGCCAGTGAAGCATTTAACAGTTAGAGTCCCCACGTCGTTATGTTGCTAGAATGTTACTAGAATGTTACTAGAATGTCACTAAACATACACTCACTCATGTCACAAAAATCATTCGTTAAATGTCAGGCGAGTATGGGGTAAACATAAACTTAAGATTTATGTAACACATAACATTCTACAAATACAAAGGCGTGAACTACACACTGTCAAAAATGTGAGCTCTAGATCTGAATCAACAAACAAATATATACATTTAAACTTTAATTGATTTCTTTTGTAAAGAAACCTATGTAACGAAAACCCACACAAATTGACAGGTGTTGAAGGAGAAACTCTCGTTATCTAAGTTCACTCAGTCAACTAACTAACATTGTTTAAAAAGAATATAAACAAATATTTTGAGGTGAATATAGACAATAAACAGTGAATATGCATTGATATGTTTTCAGACATTTAAACATATTCGCAAAGTTAAAATTAATCACCTGTCTCCGTCAAAGTTGTCATTGTAGCATTGAGGCCTAAGGCTATGGTCCACGTGACGTCATACCCCTGTGAGGCGAGGATGTCACCTGGTAGTGTTTGGTTGTTATTCCTCATCCAGTGATGTAGGGTGAACTCTGAGGGGTGAGGCCGGATATGGTAGGGGTGTCGAACGGGTCCAGATACAGGAAGCCCGTGTATATGACCCCCTCCAACGCCCGGGCCATCTGGTCGGGGGTGCAGTCGATTGTGGCGTCAGCCTCCATGTACCACTTGACGTTCAGCCAGCCAATCAGTATCCAGATCACACGGGGGTAAATCAGACCGATCTTGTAGCTCTGAGGGGTGAAGTGTTGTAGTTATTAGTGAGTGTGAGCGAGTTTAGTTTCACGCAACTTTTAGCAATATTTTAGCAATATCACGGCGGGGGCACCAGAAACGGGCCTCACACATTGTACCCATGAGGGGAATCGAACCCATTCCTCCGGTGTGTCGAGCGAACACTTTGATCACTAGGCTACCCCACCGCCCCTATAAGTTGTTATTATTATATACTCAAAGGTTTAACTATGAGGCATTCGTTAAAAATATCTACAAAATCCACTTCCAAATATATTTGGGTAATATCGATGTTAAAGGATGGGGAGAATCCTGAAACCAAACATTACATTCTTGTGGTCTTAACGGGAACAGCGCTGTACAGGAACCATATTCAAATTATGTCTAAACGAAGAGACCATAATGTGCCAAACCACTCTGGGAAAGTTCTTTAGGAACGCACATGGAAACTTGGAATCACAGAATGCGATGGGGGTAATGTAGTTTCTAACAAACTCAAATTATAAGTTTCACGATGGACAAAAGGCCAGATTGATGCAGGTCTCTCCAGCACAATAGTGAAACCCACAAGCGTGTGTATGATGCCGATGAACCACGAACCATCACCCGGGAGAAATTACAATTCGAATCTAAAATCTTCGGATCCTCGAACACCTAGCGACTGTAATTCTGGGGCAAACTAAGCGGCAAGGGACGACTGGGCCCGAGCTCTAAAATTTCCTATTTATTATGTACAACCTTTCAGATTACCTCACACAGGACGTGTCTGCCCTTCTCCGGGTAGAACCCCCCCGACAATAATCCTGGCATCTTTGTCCTGCAAACAAACCATAACTTTCTCGGTCATACACTACAGTGTTAAAGTATTTCACTATCAGTGGGTACAAATAAAAATTATAGTTAGGGGAAAATGGGTTTTGATATGGATATCTCACTCATTACACTGACATTCCTAACTTCGGAACACCAGGCAGATTGACAACAAGTACCATCTTATACGTCGTGTGGAACCACCGGCCTTTTGCACTTCTTCTACACTTCCTATCCACTAGATCACAGAGAGGGTCGGTCTGAAAGTATACACTCAGGGGCAAAGAAACGATACCAAACCTTGGCGCTACCCACAATCACATCGCCAGGATCTTCAATTGTAGCCGACTTACAATAACCAGGCTGTTGACCCGTTACAGACAGACAGGCAGGACACAGGACAGGCCAAGGAGTGGCAGACCTCGGGTCACGACCCCAGCTGAAGTCAGGTACTTGCGTACCCTGCATTTACGCAATCGATTCCTCACTGTGACATCATCAGCATTGACTGCGCTGGGTCATCGTATCAGCCGAAGGACGGTGTCCAGGAGACTTCGTTAGCATGGTATCCAAGCCTACAGACCCTACCGTGGTGTAGCACTGAGGCGCCTCCATCGATGTCGACGTGTGAGATGGGCACGTATCTTTAAAGGTTGGCAGCGCAGACAATGGGACAGAGTCTAATTTACTGATGAGAGCAGATACCTCCTGAATAGACTTGACGGCAGGACAAGAGTGCATAGATGCAGAGGAGAGCGGACGGCACGTTGCTGCGCGCAGGAGTTTGGCGTTTGGCGGTGATGGCGTTATGGTGTGGGGAGGGTATGTGGAGACAGAAAGACAGATCTGGTTGTTGTCGAGGGGAATCTGAATGAGCAGTGTTTTATCGACCAAGTCCTTCGGCCAGTTGTTCTACACTTCCTGCAAGAGAACCCAAGAACCGCATTTCAACAGGACAACGTCCCATGTTACACAGCTCAACGTGTTCAAGACTTTCTCATCGCCAACGACGTTGTTGTCCTGCCATGGCCATCACGCTCTCTGGATCTTTCACCCATTGAGCATTTGTGGGGCCATCTTGGGAGACAGATTCGTGCCAGGCAGGTTGCCCCAGTGAACAGACAAACCCTCATCCAGGCTTTGAAGGAGGAGTGGAACAGGATACCTCCTCATGTGTTTAGACGTCTGACCTCATCTGTTCAACGTCGTGTTAGAGCCCGTATCGATGCCGGTGGTGACCACACTCGATATTGACTCACAGGAGCGTCTCTGTGTCACTGACATTGACTTATCTAATCATACTGGAATGATCGAAAACAGGACATCTGAATATTATGGTTTTTTTGCAAATTAACTCAAACAATTATTGGCCTTGATTGATGAATTTGAATTCCCATGCTCCTCACCTATTTCTCTTCAAATTACAACATTGATTTTCTGTTTATCTTTTGTCATCTTTTAGTAATTAGCCTCAATAATATGGTATCGTTTCTTCTGCCCCTGAGTGTGTATACTGTCAACAGTACAACACTATTACTACGCGTTACCTTCAGTCGTTGTACTTGTGTTACGGGACTATTTTTGAAGACCTCTGATGTCACGACGGTAAGATTTTCCATGGAAAATTCCTCCAGCAAATTATCGTTCACCTGTACAAAGAGGATCAAGGAACTGAGGAGAAATTATCATAATGTGTTGCGAGCTTAACCTGACTGTGAGTGGATGTTATCTATGAGATGTTAAACCGTTGATCAACAGCCAGATTATTGACTCAGTTCTATTCAATATCGTTTACCTTGATACATTCCTGAAATATTATTCACACCTGAAGTCTAAAAACCCCAAGATTCTTGAGTTGTTTCAGTATCCCGCGGTGATACCCAGTATTTAAGCTGGTTCCAGTTGATGTGGCATCTACAGTAATAGTACAAAGCTATTGTCGTTAATCCCTGTCGTTAAGATTCTGGTAAAAGTTGATATGGCATCTCATCTACAGTAATAGTACAAAGCTATTGTCGTTAATCCCTGTCGTTAAGATTCTGGTAAAAGTTGATATGGCATCTCCGGTACCATAATTATGCTTGTCATTGATTCCGATGTAGCAGGCTCAAATGAATAGCCTAAAAGTTCACACAGAGTGTTTTGAGTCAAAATTCAAGTAAAAACAGTCTCTATGGGCATTGATCACTCCCGTCGGGTTCAAAGTGTTTACAGTATTCTGCTTCTGTTAAGCGTTGGCGCTGGAGGTTTTATATGTTTGTGTGACGTAAAAAGGCAGTAAGTGATTGTCGACATTTGGTAGATAGCCATGGAACAGCTATCTATATTCCAAGGGATTAACAAAATTTATCAATTGCTCGTTTCAGTTATGAAACATTGGACCCTTAAAAGAATATGTCGCAGCTATACAATTGTGTTTACCAATATCAAATATATCTTTGGTATATGTCTCCAACAATATATTACGTGATTTGGATTTCATAATTTTGAGATTAGAGGCTATTACAACTGAACACTGTATGTTCTTTACATAACTGACACTTGTGTAAAATCAACACACCTTGGTTGTGTTTACCTATAACATGGATCTGTTTGTATGTTCGATGTTCTGAAGATACCCGGTAACGGCACATAGATTTTTGTTACCAACTAAAGGAAATCTTCAACACATTATTTTGATTATATTTCTTGGCGGATCCAGAGTGGGGGTGGGGGTGGGGGTGCACCCCACCCCACCTCCCTTTTTGCTGAAAGTTTGTTAAATGACCATTGAAACTCGGGTGAAAATGAAGTGTGCACCCCTCCTTTTCTCAATAGTGTACACCCCACCTTTCTCGAAAAGCTGTATCCGCCCCTGTATTTAAATGTACCGTATACAGTTGTGGGTCCTGATCAGAATGTGTAAACCCTATATTTTAATATGGAAATAATAGTCTTAGTTATTGAGGATGAAAAAGCTGTCGGACATAAGGACCTGCAGAAAACAAAGTTGTGGGTCAGAGTGTTTTCCAGTCGGCTTCGTGTTTAAGGACCGAACGCTGATCGTATGTAACAAAAGAAATCTCGATATCTCGTGCAAAAATGACAATAATGTCTCATCATATATTTGTGAAAGTCCATAGAAATAGGTTGACGTGTTGTAATCTAACACAGTAAGTCCCTTGCTATTTGGTATCGACTCACGCTAACATTCATCTGCTACAGTGATATAGGTAATCAAGTTAACTAGCTTTGTTAGTTTAGACTGGGTTTATCAGATTAGGTTGTGTAGATATTTAAAAGCCAGGTCACTAATTCTTACTGGGTTACATGGTGGTCCAAAAACCAAAACAGATAATGGTGATACTATAACGGATGTCATTCCTCCAAGGGCGTAGTCGTTGGTCCAGGTAGACGTTGACGGAAATGGGTTGTGGCTGCATCCATTGACCTTAATATTGGCGAATTATCTGTTTGGGATATCGAGTGCAATACTGGGCCAATCCTTTATTTATAAAATAAGGTCCTGACTTCTTGTCGGGGTTCCACTCCCCCTTTCTATCAGCTCGTCAAGAGTTCCAAACTAAGACACTGTCACCCGCGGTGCCGATGTTGTAGCTTTTTAGTTCTATGTTGAACGTTGGCGTTATTCCTCAATTTCGTACGCATCACTTGGGATTCTTGTGCGTAGAAGGGAACTTACGTGTTTGACCGATTACATTCTTTAGGTTGAAGGTGGTGGCACAGATTGATACACACACACGCACGCACGCACTAGAATCGACCCTCAGCATAAGCCCTAGTCAATCTAGAAGTATTTGAGCCAGGGGTTGAGTTGAGCCAGTTTTACGAGGTACATTGGCGACACTTCATACTGCAATATTCTCCTCTGTTGTTAGTAATCTGATGGAGTGAACGGTAAGAGTGTTTAGTTACTTGGATTTGAGGTACACTTATTTGAAACTATATTGTATCATATGTATCATTAAAATAATCTGGGAGTATTTTACCAAATTCTGAAGTCAAATACGCATGTTAAACCCTGACTCCGTACTTATTCCGGTTAGAATTGTTATGTTATCTACGGCACCGAATGTATATGAAAAACCCGCTGATATGGTATGTCCTGTACTACAAGAATGTCCATCGTTATCTCAGCAAATGTTCTGGTATGAGTTGATGACCACAGTCAAAAGGGTAGTGACTGCTATTGTAACAGCATGACCTTTTCCCAGCCAGGCTGACAGATACAGTAAAGTTTAACTTGTAATCTCACCAAGGTAAAGAGCTCGTAGTTCTGGTAGATAGTGGCTACCCGGGACCAACCCAGCTGTTTGAACATCCGGATCCGCATGGAGGTCACGGCGGTGTCCGCAGAGGCCAGCCGCATGAACTTGGGGAAGCGTGCTTTGTTGGACAACGCCGGCGAAGAAGAACCGTAGGACACCTGGTGCCATAAGAACATGTATTAGCCTCTCTTTTGTACCTTTTGTACAAATATACCTGTAGATACTCCGTGTACATAATGGCTACATTGGCTTCAAAGCCCAGCACCTATACGATGACCTAAGGGGACCACTATCTAAGTTTTAGGCTTTAAGTAAGACAAATCTGTAAACTGTCTTAAAAAGAGGTTGCACAGATAGGTCGCCTGAGAAAAGGTGAGGCCCAACCTACATGTACAAAGTTCCACAGACTGGGTACCATGGAAAAAGTATGACTTACCTGCACGACGTTCCATTGACTGGATGCCATGGCAACAGTAGGACTTACCTGTATAAGATTCCACAGACTCGGTGCCATGGCAACAGTAGGGCTTACCTGTACAAGATTCCACAGACCGGGTGCCATAGAACTAGTATGACCTACCTGCACGAGGTTCCATAGACTGGATGTCATGGAGACAGTAGGACCTACCTGGACAAGATTCCACAGATACGATGCCTGGGAGGTTGCCTGGGAGACAGTAGAACATGCCCCGCCCACGATGACGATCCTGGTAGGTCCATTGTACAGGTTGTCTGTCATGGCTCGGATGCCTCGGCCGGCACTGCACTGGCAAGGACATGAAATGTGTAAATCTACGCATTACCCCAACGTCATAACAATTTCATAACAGTCACTACAACACACACGGATATCCAATGTATGTGATATTGTGATTAGGTGTAAGAGTGACCGGAAACTGATAATCACATCATATACTATGACACGACAAGATACGGTATTTGATAACTAGGTGTCAAAACTATTGACATTTATATCGTCATGGAGATAAATAGGTTGTCAGTGTAGAAGGGGCATCTGACGTCAGATTTTACTTGCCAAATCTTGCCAAATCGTCCTACGTCCCATTACGTCATTTGCCATGAAAAGTAACTCATTAATATCGCGCGAATCCGCCTCTGTTCAAAGGTAACCCGGATTCGACGATGTATATTCCTAATCAAGCGTCCAATATCGACTTGGTTCATACATCCAATTCTTCCTGCAGAGCATCGCCAAGTTCGTTGAGATGGGTAGTTGGTGTCCACGGTTAACACCTTTCGAATTTTATGACGACCATGTGATCATCATTAAAAACACTTGAAGGGGACTGGCGTGTACAACTTGCACTAAAGCCACAACACGTTGTGCATGTAACAATACTTTTCTACATCCAAATACAATCGTACAACCTGATTCCCAAAACGATGTCATCCCAAAATGGAATATCCTCTACCTTCACAAACATACTCAATCAATGTTGATATGAAAATAATGAATGCTTTGAGAGTGCATCACTACTTGCACTTCCTTATGACCATAGTCTCTTTCGTATAGTAATCGTTCTTGAAAGATGATTGGTGAGTTAAGTGAAATTTACATGTGTACAATGTTCATTTTCAAAACAGGAAACACGTCAAGAAACAAACACTAACAACTGTGTGATGCACGGTGTTTGTCACAATCAATGTTTTACTGTGATTTATCCACCTTCTTGAAAGTCAAAGAATGACGCCCCATGTACGTGTATGGGGATACTGCGTTGTGCACGTGCATCCCATGCGTAGTGTTTAGGGGTGGTTATAAAAAGAAATGGCGGTGCGTTCATAGTGCGTGAGTGAGTTTTGTTTTACGCCACAATATTCCAGCTATATGGCGGCCGCGGTGCGTTCATAAGATGTCTGTCTTTGAAAAGACTTCCTATCCAAATTGAGAGTTCAGGTTCCCCTACTGTTTTGAAGAGTATAGTATTTGTAAGTCGAAACATTTTAATGTTACTTCTAAAAGAAGTAGATGAAAAGAATAGTTAGATGTCGGGTAAAAATCGTTTTTATGGTGTTGGTAGGTAACATAAGAAAAATTCCGATGTCAAGATCTTGATCTATCAAGAAACTGAATCATGGAGGTTGCATCACCAAGGTACTGTGATGCGCCTGAATACCTACTGACATACCCTGGTGGCATACGTACATCCACAGAGAGATGGCAATATATAAGGGCCAATGTGAGAGATCGATTTTGAGTTTAGACAATGTTTAGTTGCATGCAACATTCAACAGACAACTTCTCTCACTGCTACACCTGACAATAGATTGTTTGAAATATTTTCTATAGACTGCTAGGGAAAACATTGAAGACCACGAGGAATCAATTGTATTTTTATAGTTAATTTTTATATTAAAAGCTCAGAGGCATCGGAACAAACCGTGTTGGTTATCGAAGACCATCATGAGACGAATACTTTGCCGTACGAGTTCTTATAGTAATGATGTATGTGAAAGACCGCGAGGAAACGCATCCTTTACCGCCAAGGTTCGAATAAAAAGCACGATGATTCCATGAAACACCCCGAGAACATGCATTATTTACCGCCAAGTTTCGCATGAAAACATGATGACTCCATGAAACATCGCGAGAAAATGCATTATTTACCGCCAAGTTTCGTATAAAAAGCACGATGATTCCATGAAGCACCTCGAGAAAATGCTTTATTTACCGCCAAGGTTCGCATAAGAAACATGATTCCATGAAACACCGCGATAAAATGCATTATTTACCGCCAGATTTCGTATAAAAAAATGATGATTCCACAAAACACAGTGATAAAATGCATTATTGACCGCCAAGTTTCGTATAAAAATCATCTTGATTCCCCCCAAACCGTGAAGAATTGCATCATATACCGCGTTGTTTTCATTAATAGTTCGCAAGGATTCGCATGAAAGGCCACGAAAAGACGCGTCATTTTCCGCGACGGTTTCCATTAAAAGACATAGTAAAAGACTAAGAAGCATTCCATAAAACACTTGAGTATCAAAAAGCCATCGGAATGGCTAATAGATTTACATATTATGAAATTTGTTCGCACTAAAACCATGTCAATATTACACAGGACAATTAAACGACGGCATTTAGCAGTGACAATCACTGAGATTGTCTGTCAACACCATAGCAGTGTGGTAGTATTTACCAGCCAGCCAGTATATCGACATATGTCCACGTTCATGTGTGAACATCTTCCGAATACAATGTATAGGAAATCAGGTTACTGAATTAATAGACAATGCCTCCATTATATCAAGGGCCCATAGAAATATTGCCATTAGGATTCCAGAAATGACGGTCTTTGCTTACTAAGGCACACAATAACCGACTACATCAGGGTTTGTGAGGATTTATTGGAACAAAAGACCATCGCCTAATGGACTGTCAAAGGTTTTAGTTACGTATTGATCTGGGCTCAAACATTTAGTCATTTAAAGTTTCAAATATATGTATTAATCGGGTTTTATTACAGTCATTGTTTTTTATCGAGATTATCTGAAATGTTTCTGTTGACAGTAAACAGTTATATATCAAGTCTGCTCGGTTACTACAGAGCGATCTAGATATACATGAGTAATGTATATCTGACACAATGTAACCAGGTAATATGGCTAATAGCCATATTAACCATTTTGTGTAATGGTTTGTGCTTCAACGACCAACTGAGAGAGTGAGTTTAGTTTTACGCCGCTTTTAGCAATGTTCTAGCAATATCACGGCGGGGGGCACCAGAAATAGGCTTCACACACTGTACCCATGTGAGGAATCGAACCCGGTCTTTGGCGTGACAACGACCAAATGAATTTCAGTCTGAAATACTGGTTGTATAACACTTCAGTCAAATGACTTCCAGAGTTCACATATGGTATACTTTCTCAGTTGAATACAAATTCTAGTACTTTTTGGTGTTGAGACCCACCAGGGATTGGAACCCGTACTCTCGGAGGGAACCTAATCGCCAGCACACAAATGTATTGAGCATTCATAGCGTTCTCCCGTGTACCTGTTGCCACTTTACACTTATCAGACGTGACCACACAACACGTGATCTGGAATTACATTGTTGTGGGAACCACTGTGGCTAAGTGGCGCATTTTGTTATATGGCGAGGGGCACTGGGGTAGCTTAGTGGTTAAAGTGTTCGCTCGTCACGCCGAATGCCCGGGTTCGATTCCTCACATGGGTACAATGTGTGAAGCCCATATCTGGTGTCCCCTGCCGTGGTATTGCTGGAATATTGCTTAAAGCGGCGTAAAACCACACTCACTCAGTTTTATATGGCGATTAGGTAACTCAGGTTGAGAGCATGGTGTCGAAATATATTTTTGTCAATTTGCTATTTGTTGGTTCCAATCCTGAATGCGACTCGACCAAAAAAAGTACTTAAATTTTGTCTATAGGTCTATTCCAGATTATCGCAAACGTTACTTACGTTACATTTCACTTACTACAATTCCTTGCGTAGTGATAACCTTTAAAAGGATTTATCAACGTGTCCCTCGGGATTCTGTGAAAAAGACTACCTCCCCGGTCAGGAGTATAAAGTCCCTTGCTCGACTCCTGGGATGCATGTTGCTGTGTAAGTGTACATGTAATACGTCGTAGAACAATCTATTGCTGCAACCGTACAGTGAAACCAGTTCCGAGTGTTTAGGTCCAGATTGACAAAGTATGTATTACACAAAGTCCAGTTTCTACAAGTTTGCATACGTGATATTCAGATCTGGAGAGGTTTGTTATCAAAGATTTGGTTTTAGCGACCTTAGGATTACTTGATTTGAACGGTATACATATTTTCATACACATTGTGTACACATATACATATACACTAGACGCCAAAAGGAACGTTACCCCCATACCTTTATGTATTACTGAAAAACTATCACAGATATTTTAGAAGGTTTTAGTTTACAAGAAAGCTTAACAACACAGCTTTATGCAAATCACGAAAAAACATTCTCAAATGCATTCATATTTGGGTGAAATGCATCTTTTAAAGAAGAGTTAAAGTGTCCTATATTCGTCCATGCCGAAATAAACCAATAATAGTGATTTTGATGTCCAAAAGAAGGTTGAAATAAAAGTCTGCTTTGGGACAATGATAAACCATTTAAAGTCACCATTTTTCAACTGTTAGGTGAGGTGAAATTGGGTTTACCGTCGTACTGGAGAAAATTTCGCTCATATGACGACGTGCATGCGTGTGTATGTGTATGTGCGGCTGCTTGTACTAGCCCAGACTGAAGCTGGTTTTATAGTGCTAGCCCACTGAGATACCAGGCCGCAGTGAAGCATGAATACCCACTCAGACACATTATTCTGACTCCGAGCCGACCAGTCCTTGTTGTATCCATTAATGCCGAGCGCCAGGCAGGGACCAACAAGTACCATATTTTAACGTATTTTGGTATCACGCGGTCAGGGAATTCAACTGTTAAAACAAGACACAACTGTTGTTAGAGTTTGTAAAATTGTAAAATAATCATTGCTATGATTTTCTGCTGATTTGCATTAGTGAAAACAAGTAAAACGTGTCTTTGATATTGTGAAAAAATCTACAATTAACTTTTTTAACATTTTTCCATTTCCATTTTACACATAGCAATATCAATCGCCAAAATGCAGCAATATTCAAACAGTATTTACATCCATTTCACATGTAGAATGATTCTATAGAGCCTAGAAGACATGATCTGATACACAAGTACGAGAAATATGCCACGATTAACAGCTGAAGGGAGAGAAAGAGCCATTGGGATGGTGCAGATGGGGTCGACATACAATGCTGTTGCCAACGCCCTCGGATGCCACCGTATCACGGTTATAAGACTTATTCAGGGCTTCAGACAGACTGGGATCGCCGTAGACAGACCAAGAAGTGGACGTCCACGCATCACAACGCCTGCTGAAGGTACCTCCGTCATTAAGGAAGGAGGGTAACCTTTCCTTTGGCGTTTAGTGTATATATACATTTATACATTCAGTGCCCCGTGAAGATCCGGGTTAGAATAGGTCTTCAGCAACCCATGCTTGTTGAAAGAGGCGACTAACGGGATCGGGTGGTCAGGATCGCTGACTTTGCTTAGATCGATGCCCATGGTTTTGATCACTGGATTGTTTGGTCCAGACTCTATTTACCGACCGCCGTCATATAGATGGAATATTGCTGATTGCGGAGATAAGCAAGAAACAAAAAAACAATAATACATTAATTTATGGACCAGGGCGTATATATACTTCATCTTTCTAATTATTTGTAAACAGATGCATAACAAGATACCACAGTTTCCATAATTTTCACCTTGCACTTTATTGTGTCTATTTGCTATTTATTTGTTAAGGGCAAATGATGCCATGACAATAGCAGAAAGATCGTGAAATGTTCTTAACACCAGGACAAAACTCTGCTATAATTGATAATGCATTTCGATTATACTACACCGTGTCGACAAAAGCTCGCACAGTGACAATCTCGTTGTTGAACAGCTGGGGCAATGGTGCCGACAAGCCAAGGTCATATTCAGGGCATATCTTGGATTCGAACCCATAACCAGAGGTCCGGGTATCTAAGGGACGCGACTAAGTGTTGCTCCTTACACAACTGGCATAACAAACGCTGTTAAACAATGTATTCACAAGAAGTGATTCTAAAATCTTAGTAGTGAAAGGGTGAACCCGAACAAACACATAAAATATGAAGCTGCAAATCTCAGACGCAGGTTTTAAGTGGTAATATTCTCACATCGGAAGGTAATATTCTAATAAATCTTGCATATAAAAATGTCTGCATTCAAATAAAAACCCTTTAACATTGAACACGACAAACATATGACTACGGGGACAAGGGCAGGGACGGTTGAGGGCATTGATTCTGTAAGAATTGGGTTATAGCCATATACGTCTTCCATCGATCTGAGGTGACCAATTAACTGGGGTAATAAAACAAGAATTGAAAGACAATTTGCTTGGTTGACTTAATGAATAATTAATTATATCCTGAAAGTTGAAAACAAATATGCAATTTTATTTTCCGTAGACGTTATTGATGTTCGTTTCAATACAATTTTGACGCAATTGAATATGTTCATTCTATACTATTTCTGGTCCGTTTGGGTTGTGTTTAGGTGGCAATTAATGCAGCCAATTCTAAGGAATATTTTATGTGTGTTTTATAATCCATTTACAATATGTGTATGCAAAAGGACCATTAATTCCATAATTCAAATACGAAAGATGTTGTGGCAATTCTTTTCTCAACGATAACAGCAAAAAAGAGGTTTGCAGTAAAATAAATTTACAGAAACGACACAACAATGGGAACAATAAAATGTTTTACACATACAAAATGGTTGCATTAATCATTCATTGAACGCATAACCACAAAAGACAGTATATCGGCAAAGATACAATAACAGTAAGTAAATATATGTAAATTATACATAAAAAACGTATACCTACAAACGGTAAATAGACAAAGTACAACATCAATGGTTACATAAATCAGTTACAGGCAGTGTAACCAATGGCAAATAATACTCCACACGGTTACAAACTGGTTCTGTAAATCATAAATAGAAAGTCAAATCGTATAAATATAGTAGTGAGTGGATATGGTTGTACGGGCTTTTAGCAATATTCTAGCAATTTCACGGTATGGAACACCTGAAATGGGCTTCACAAAATGTACTTAAATAGGGTATCGAACCCGGAGTTTCGGTATTAGGAACAAAGGCATACATTTAACAAAAATACGTCAGGCTGACTTGGTTGACACATGTCATCATATCCCAAATGCATAGATCGATGCTCATGCTGTTGATCACTGGATTGTCTGGTCCAGAATCGATTATTTACAGATCGCCGATTATTTTCAAAGTGCGGCGTAGAACTAAACTCACTCTCTTACTCACATGAGGACATCGGACGTTGTTTAAATAGTTTGATCTTGGTAATAGTTCTTAGACCTCATGCAGAACATATCATCTGATCTGGTCCAGATTCGATTATTTACAGACCGCCGCCATAGAGCGGGAATATTGCTGAATGCGGCTTTAAACAACAGGCGAAGAAAACAATCAACTTCAAAATACACACAACGTCTATATAGCAAGAAAATCTGCAAAACAGGTATATCAATTATATAAATAAAGTATGAACACAAAACTCGAATTATGCTGCGGGGCGGTGAGATAAAGCATAAACGACATGGATACATTTTTGTAAGGAATTACATGTTGAAACTGACATGGATAAACAAAGGTTAACATATATCATGAATAAGATTTAACCACCAAACAGAATTATTCGAAATACACAGGAAACGATTTTATCAAATATATTTAGCATGTGTAATCACAAAACACATTAAATCGACATCGATTCGAAACGGTTACATAAACTATATATTGATCGTGTAAGCATAAAAATCAAAATATATCGACACGGAGGCAAAAAGGTAGTATGGATTGTTTATGCGAGTTAAAAGAAATATATTAAACGGTTATCTTCAATATTCGTTGAAAACCACAATATACGTATAAATAGACACAGAATCAGTAGTCCCCTATTGAGTATCTAACCAATAGATAATCGACATATATGCACTTATATCATGTGAAGAATGAGTAACAACGGGAAAAACCGTAACTGAAATAGGCAAAACGGTTATTCAAATCAGAAGATATTCAACAAAACATGAAATCGACATAGGTACAAAACGGTTACATATACCATACATGAAAAGCGTAAAAACCTAACACAGTTAATCGAGAAAATGAACATTTACAGATTTAGATAGTATTAGATATAGTTCATCTTTAGATATTTGATGTGAACTGAAACAGATCAAGGCCTCTTACGTTTGAGTTGCTCCAAGTGAGGTTGAGGTTGTATCCGGGGAGAATGTCGTCCCTGCTGTTGATGTCCTCGATGGCCATCTGGACAGCAGTCAACAGACTCTGCCCCCCATCCCATTCCCCTGTAATGGGGAGCAATCCAAGCACGTGTAGGTCTGTTGTTGGTGAACTTGGTAGTATTGTGACCATCACAGACACGAGGGACAGAAGGAGCATGTTTCAAATCTGTGTAATCCGAACCACTGTGCGATTAAAACCTGATGGTCATGACTGCATCTTGTGATGCTGACACGCGTAACACCTTTCATGAACCACTATTGATGAAATTCGTACTGGAGGGAGATAGCAGTCGCTGTGTAGTGGAAGAGTCCAGTGTGTTACAGGTGGGTCAGGTATACTGGAGGGAGATATCCGTCGCTGTGTAGTGGAAGAGTCCAGTGTATTACAGGTGTGTCAGGTATACAGTCGTGAGATAGCAGTCGCTGTGTAGTGCAAGAGTCCAGTGTATTACAGGTGTGTCAGGTATACTGTCGTGAGATAGCAGTCGCTGTGTAGTGCAAGAGTCCAGTGTATTACAGGTGTGTCAGGTATACTGTCGGGATATATCAGTCACTGTGTAGTGGAAGAGTCCAGTGTATTACAGGTGTGTCAGGTATACTGTCGGGATATATCAGTCACTGTGTAGTGGAAGAGTCCAGTGTATTACAGGTGTGCCAGGTATACTGTCGGGATATATCAGTCACTGTGTAGTGGAAGAGTCCAGTGTATTACAGGTGTGTCAGGTATACTGTCGGGATATATCAGTCGCTGTGTAGTGGAAGAGTCCAGTGTATTACAGGTGTGCCAGGTATACTGTCGTGAGATAGCAGTCGCTGTGTAGTGCGAGAGTCCAGTGTATTACAGGTGTGTCAGGTATACTGTCGTGAGATAGCAGTCGCTGTGTAGTGCAAGAGTCCAGTGTGTTACAGGTGTGTCAGGTATACTGTCGTGAGATAGCAGTCGCTGTGTAGTGCAAGAGTCCAGTGTATTACAGGTGTGTCAGGTATACTGTCGGGATATATCAGTCACTGTGTAGTGGAAGAGTCCAGTGTGTTACAGGTGTGTCAGGTATACTGTCGTGAGATAGCAGTCGCTGTGTAGTGCAAGAGTCCAGTGTGTCACAGGTGGTAGTGGAAGAGTCCAGTGTGTTACAGGTCAGGTATACTGTCGTGAGATAGCAGTCGCTGTGTAGTGCAAGAGTCCAGTGTGTTACAGGTGTGTCAGGTATACTGTCGTGAGATAGCAGTCGCTGTGTAGTGCAAGAGTCCAGTGTATTACAGGTGTGTCAGGTATACTGTCGGGATATATCAGTCACTGTGTAGTGGAAGAGTCCAGTGTATTACAGGTGTGTCAGGTATACTGTCGTGAGATAGCAGTCGCTGTGTAGTGCAAGAGTCCAGTGTATTACAGGTGTGTCAGGTATACTGTCGGGATATATCAGTCACTGTGTAGTGGAAGAGTCCAGTGTGTTACAGGTGTGTCAGGTATACTGTCGTGAGATAGCAGTCGCTGTGTAGTGCAAGAGTCCAGTGTGTTACAGGTGTGTCAGGTATACTGTCGTGAGATAGCAGTCGCTGTGTAGTGCAAGAGTCCAGTGTGTTACAGGTGTGTCAGGTATACTGTCGTGAGATAGCAGTCGCTGTGTAGTGCAAGAGTCCAGTGTGTTACAGGTGTGTCAGGTATACTGTCGTGAGATAGCAGTCGCTGTGTAGTGCAAGAGTCCAGTGTATTACAGGTGTGTCAGGTATACTGTCGTGAGATAGCAGTCGCTGTGTAGTGCAAGAGTCCAGTGTATTACAGGTGTGTCAGGTATACTGACGGGAAATATCAGTCACTGTGTAGTGGAAGAGTCCAGTGTGTTACAGGTGGGTCAGGTATACTGACGGGAAATATCAGTCACTGTGTAGTGGAAGAGTCCAGTGTGTTACAGGTGTGTCAGGTATACTGTAGGGAGATAGCAGTCGCTGTGTAGTGGAAGAGTCCATTGTATTACAGGTCTGTCGGGAGATATCCGTCGCTGTGTAGTGGAAGAGTCCATTGTATTACAGGTGTGTCAGGTATACTGTCGGGAGATATCCGTCGCTGTGTAGTGGAAGAGTCCATGGTATTACAGGTGTGTCGGGAGATATCAGTCGCTGTGTAGTGGAAGAGTCCAGTGTATTACAGGTGTGTCAGGTATACTGTCGGGAGATATCCGTCGCTGTGTAGTGGAAGAGTCCATTGTATTACAGGTGTGTCAGGTATACAGTCGGGAGATATCAGTCACTGTGTAGTGGAAGAGTCCAGTGTTTTACATGTGTGCCAGGTATACTGTCAGGAGATAGCGGTCGCTGTGTAGTGGAAGAGTCCATTGTATTACAGGTGTGTCAGTTATACTGTCGGGAGATAGCAGTCGCTGTGTAGTGGAAGAGTCCATGGTATTACAGGTATGTCGGGAGATATCAGTCGCTGTGTAGTGGAAGAGTCCATTGTATTACAGGTGTGTCAGGTATACTGTCGGGAGATATCCGTCGCTGTGTAGTGGAAGAGTCCATTGTATTACAGGTGTGTCAGGTATACAGTCGGGAGATAGCAGTCGCTGTGTAGTGGAAGAGTCCATTGTATTACAGGTGTGTCAAGTATGCAACAGAAAGCAGAACCAGCATAAAAAGATATATTTACGCTCGAATGTATCTGTTACAGTACGAACACATGTATTTAAACTTTTCTTCTCTTTTTATATTTATAAGCAGGAGACAATCTGCAGTTGTACACATCTGATGTAATTCAGATGTAACATATCTTTTTGAGTTTCAAACATACAGTATATTTGCTATCGTATTTGACTGCATTTCTGTTTGTTTACATGTCAGCGTTGTGTGAGGCCTCCGAGTAACGAGCGACCTCTTTTACCTCTATACTACCCCACCACCCCTCTTATATACTAACGGGGGCGGTGGGGTAGCCTAGTGGTTAAAGCGTTGGCTCGTCACGCCGAAGACCCGGGTTCGAATCCCCACATGGGTACAATGTGTGAAGCCCATTTCTGGTGTCCCCCGCCGTGATGTTGCTGGAATATTGCTAAAAGCGGCGTAAAACCAAACTCAGTTATATACTAACGGAAAAAAGTAACTGTGCATAACATAAAATTGCTATTGACAGTTATAAAAATAACCCTAAATAAACATGAAGCAAAGCACTTTGCGTGAAATTTCATGTCACGTATCGCGCGTGGCACGTGCACTTTGTGCACAATGAACTAAATGACGTTCACACACCTGATATTGAAAATTGAAGAACGGTTGATTATTCTCTAGCCTCTGAATGTTGTGGAAAACTTTTGAACCTGAACTGCACTTACGTCATGCCACGGCTTACAGAAAATCAGCGTCTCTGCGCCGTGGGTATGCTGGAGACTGGATTGGCCCAAAATGAAGTGGCCAGACATTTTGGTGTCCATCGAAACACGATCTCATCTCTATGGAGACGTTTTCAACGTAATGGGAACACGAGAGATTTGCCTAGGACCGGTCGTCCACGCGTGACGTCACGTAAGCAAGACAACCACATTCGGCTGACCCATCTAAGGAATCGATTCCAGACTGCCAGTTTGTCTGCTGGGACCATTCCTCGCTAACGTCAAATTAGTCCCAGGACTGTACGGAACTAACTGAGGGAGCACAATATCCAGTCCCAACGACATGCAATACGTCCATTTTGCTCCAGCGTCTTGTCTGGTGCAGACAGCATGTACGGTACCGGAGACAAGATTGGGATGTTGTTTTGTTCTCTGACAAGGGATATTTCATCTGGACAGCTGAGATGGCAGGGCGAGGGTGTACAGACGGCGAGGTGAACGGTATGCTGACGCTTACGTGGTTCAAAGTCGACAGTTTGCAGCATCAGCGTTGCAGAATGGGGTAGCATCACATCTCATGGTCGGACACTACTTGTCATTGTCACTGGCAATCTGACAGGTGTGCGATACATGGGTGAGATCACTAGGTCTCATGTGCAGCCGTTCATTCAAGGACAAATGCATATCTTCACGCTTCAGCAAGAAAATGTCGCGCATGTTGTGACAGATTTCCTGAGACTGCAGACCATTTCGGTACTCCCCTAGCCAGCTGTTTCTCCGGACCTGCCCCTCTCGAGCACGCTTGGGATGAAATGGAGAGACGTTAACGTCAAGCCCAGAATCAGCCATTGACGTTAGCTGGATTTGGACAAGCGTTGGTTCAGATATAAAACAACATTCCCCAATCTTTCTTCAATCGCATAGTGTCGTCTATACGTCGTTGTTGTCAAACCTGCATCAACACCAATGTTGGACACACACGATACTGAATTTGTGAACTGACTTTTGACACCACATCTCTTCAAGGGCGTGTCACGATGCCTAGTGTCAAATCATACAGTTTTCGATATTATCCTGTCAAAGTTAAACGGTGATTAAGAAAAACACCACAAATCATGATATTATCTGTTTGCATTAAAAAATGGCCAATAATGTACAGTTACTTTATTCCAGTAGTATATCATTAAACCGAGTACTTTGAGAAGTTAAAAATATTTATTTTCATGCAACAGTTCTATTAGTAAGCACATGTTCATTATGCTCATGTACAGAGCTTGGCTGAACGTCTGAGATTCAGGAAACGTGTTTACAGAGGAAGGTTTGAACATCAATATCAGGTCTTACGCTACAATATACGTCATCGACTTTTTCCACTAATGGCCATTGATCAATCTCGGTGTCTCTGTTTGTTATATATCGCTGAAAAATTCAGTATTTGTTCTACCAAACGTAGTCTGGATCCATTGAGAACATGCATTACATATTAAAACCTAGGTCTGAACTTACAAACAGGAAACGTCTATCTCACTACTCAATCAATGCCAATCAAACTCGCGTGTTCGCCTACTAATGGCTATAAATGTGATTGCGTGTAACTTGTATCTGTATATTTCATGGGTAAATGGGTTTGATAGAGATTCCTCAAAACACTTTAAAAAGCATTTAGTCATTTTTCAATAGATTCCATATTCCTGAAAATATCGACTCTTGACAAACTCCTTCCCTGCGGCAATGTACACTATAAGAAGATTCTATATGAAGATGAAGCACCTGGTTCAAGGATGGTTGATGGGCGGGCGTCATTAAAGAAACATTGATATACAATAGTTGTAGCTAAAACAAGGCCGTAAAGCGCAACTCAGGTGCGTAGAGCACTCAACAGTGTTTTACAAAACGTTCAAGAACGAAAACATATGATAGCTCTCTGAGTGTACATTAGTAAGTAAAGAACCTTAACGGCTGCAGCAGCTTAGTATAAAGGACTACACAGTGGCATTAAAGGAACTGCGTGCATTCATCACCTCAAAAAGCCAACAATCGTAATTG